TTGACGTATTTCACTCAGCACAATCTCTTCAAGCTTCATCCACACTGTAGCACGTATCGAGGCTTCATTTCTTGTACTGACTAAGCAGTACTCCATTGTATGTATGTACCGCGTTTTGCTTATCCATTCGTCTGCTGATGGGCATTTAGGTTGTTTCCTGTCTCTGGTTTTTAAACCGTGCAGGTATTGCTCTGACAAAAATTAAACAGCTTAAAGTTACTTGGTTTATATACACAGCCTGCTGTTGTTAGCTGCTGTGAAGTTGGTCCTGGCTCACAGCAACCCCAAGCACACAGTGGTGTCATAAGGGTTGGTGTCACTCAGTACAGTAACTCATGACATCACCTCCTCCATGGACCTCCTCCTATACCAGACCATACAAAAACCTTAGTAAAGCTTACTGCTAATTTTAATCATAGAATATGTGATAAATATAGTTGTAAATTGTTTAAATGTAGTATTTCTTAGATTATATGAATACTAACAATAAAACTATTTTATAAGATCTTTCTACACCAAATTACAACATTAGTAACTGAGCAGAGGCCTTTTTGATTTTTCTTCTTCTCCTTTAATTACTACTACATTCTCAAAAAAGTTAATGATATAGGTTCACAAATATTAATTATAATATTGTAGCTCAAACACCAGGAAATTTGACAAAATCCGTGACTATAAAAACACCAGCAGCTGCAAAAACAACAGCACATGCTTGTAGCAGATGAAACCCCGTGACTTGAAGCATCATTGTAATGAGTGATGATGACAGCTCTGACCAGAGAGCATTAGAAAGTTCAAAAAGTAAATCAGTATAGTTTTAGATTTGTAGGTATTATTGATAAAAACAAGCTGGGCTTACAAAAAATGTTTTTGTTGTTATAACTACAAGGATATTCTTATAAAAAATAAACTTCTGCTGAAACACTGCACAAAACTTGCAGACGTTTTAGTACCATCTCCTCTGACAGTATCACCTGCTGTGGTCTGCGTCCCCCTAGTGATGCCACTGTGCACACAATGGAACAAAACGCTCTCCAGTCCGGAGCCATCCCGATTGGTTGGGATCCAAACATGGTGATCCGTAGAGTTTTCATTGGCTTATTTTTGGAAGATCACTTGGCCTTTTCTCCTGATCCATTTTAGGCTGGACTTAATCCAGACTACATTACACAGATTAGAGTTAAATTAATGTGCAGAAGTATGGCTTTAGGGAGAGTTTCTATTTCCAAGTGAGCTTTGTTTTCAGTTCATACTATTTGTCCTACTTTAAATGTGCAGTGAGAATTTAAAAAATATGTGATCTACATTCATCTATTTATTAGTTTTAAAAGAGTAACAATAGGTGACAAACATTTTAAGAAAATGAAATGATAGCTATTAATCAGGCAATTTAGTGAACATTGGAAATGATTGGGTTTCAAAATATATATTATATACATATATATATATATATATACACACACACACATATGTATATACAATCATCCTAACTTGATTATAAGCACTTGTGAAGAAAGATTTTCCAGCAAGGGATCATCAATTGCATTTTTCACAGATGTATCAAATGGTGGTTCAAATGAGTGACTGGAGTCAAAAGCTGTTCCCAGGTCTGTAAAGAACAAAATTTTTGCAAAGAAAATGGGAAGAAAAGCAAAAAAAGAAAATGAAACCCCGGGTTGATTCTAGGAGTGTAGCCTTGAAGTGCCAAGTTTAATATCATCTCCTCTGCCCGAATTTGCCGAAAGTACCTTTTTCAATTCAGTCTTCAAAGCCTGATCCTATTCCAAAAGCCTTTTTTCTTCTCTAGTAGTTTTCGCCCAAAAAGATAACTATTGTTTTTCACTCTGCTTCACTATCATAAATGGCAGGCTTTTAGACAAGTGATTCTCAGAAACATGTTTGTAAACATCACTATTTTCAGGTTTTATATGTTAAAGCTTTGAAACAGAGCCAAACCTTAGTCTGACTCATGCATTTACTTGTCTCTTAGGAAACCACACTTTTCATTATAGCACACACAAAGGATGATTGCATCAGACATAATTACAGACACACATTTTTGAATCTTAAGAGACTTTGGTGATGTACAATGATAGTTTGACATGTTTGTGATTCACAGTTAAGTTATATTTCAAAAGACCCAGTTTCATTTTTATAGATTTACACTCTTCCACAAATATGAATGCATGAAGTATTACAAGTCACTGGTGATTTATTCCTAATACCAGCTATGGACTAAGCACATTTATTAAATTACCCAGATCTGCAGCAAAAGAACTGAGATCTTCTAAGCCTCAGTCTATCCCCCTGCTGATGTTCAGCTGAATCCACAGTAATTCAAGGGGAGCTTTCAGGGAAGCTACTTTAAAACCTGTTAGAAATGGCAAGGGGAAAAAAAAAAAAAAAAAGAGTTCAGTTTTTGAAAGAGTGAAACCACCTTAGTGGTGGCTGGCCACCACTTAGTGCCTGGCTGGCCCAGAAGCCTGCCAGGGCAGATTAATGACTAGTGACATGTCAAGTTTGGTGCAGAAATGAAGCCCAGGCTGTTTTCATCCTGTTTTATGTTGCAGAGAATTATTCAGGGCTGCTCCCACGATATTTCTTGTTTCGTTTCACCTGATGTCAACTCTTTAGTCTCTTCTACCTAGCAATGCCCTCCCTGTACCCCACAGAAGGGAAGGTGAAAAGATAAACTATTTGTAAACATTCTGTAGCCCAATGTTCAGTCTTTCCCTTACAGCATCCTCAACCCTCACTCCTCCTATCTGAGGCTTCACTTTTGATTTGGCTGGGTTTATCAGTGTTTTATCTAAGTGTCTCCTCTGACTTTTCAACTCTGGCCCCCAAACTGAAGACAGCAGAGAATTAACAACCAACTAAGTGTTGTACCTCATCATTTAAATACAGCAGGACCAAAGCCAAATAGGGGTATTTTATAATAGCATTCGTATCTTATAAAAATAAAACATTCATAAAATTTTATGCAGAGAATAATATAAGAACATATCAAGCAAATCATTTTAGATTACACAGGAAAACTAAGTTACCAAACTAGAGAGAGGGGAAAAAAACTGGAGAGGGAGGCTCTAACATACCACTAGCAATTTACGACAGATCAAGAATTAGTCAAAGGATGATTCTGAACCCTATTGTATGAATAAATATCTACTAAATATTACACTTAAAGAGAGGCTTTGGCACATCCATTGTTCAAGCCTCAATTACCCAGTTCAGTTCATGGTTGAGACCATCTGAGCAAGAATGCCTGTGCTATGGTGTAAGTTACAGGGGAAAGATAATTCTAGAGGCTGAAGGAGTTGCCCAAATGAAGAATGGCAAAATACAACTCTTCCAGGTGTTTCACTACTGTCTACCCATAAACAAGGAATAAAGATAGTACCACCTGTCTGCCCTTACTTCCATGAAGTCAAAGGTTAGAAGAAGAATGAAGATTGTCCTCTCAGTTAAATGAAATATCATCTGAACCCTGAACTACCAAAGCAGCCAGAAGGCTGACTGGCTTGGAAAACCTGACTCTGTTCCCTTACCCAATCTGAACCAAATCAAGTTTAATCTCTAGTCTGAGGTCAGCTTCAATTCAGCAGTTGCTCAAGAAATTGTTTTCAGAATGACTTAAGAGCTCAACTCACAGCATGAGATGGACCCAAACCTTGAAAAGTCACTTACAAAGCACTTCCTGTGTGCATGCCTTGTTCCAGATGGCCCATCACCGTATCATTTAACTTCCAAAAGAAGATACTCATGTCCATCTTCTTCAGAGAGCAAAGTCACAAACCTCATGACAAGAGAATCTGAACTCAGATCTCCAACTCACCCTCCTCACTCCTATGAGCTGTTTTTAACTAGGGAGAAGTGGAACAAGTAGAAGCCAACATGCCTAAGACCGGCCTTTAGCCATGAGGTGACAGTCCCACCTAAGATAGCCCACCGCCAACCATCATCCTCCTACTCTACTTCTTTCTAGCATTCCTCTCTACCTGAAATTACACCTGTTTGTTTCCCAGGTATTAATGGTGCTTCTACTATATTCCAGACACCACAGCAATGATCTAGGCAGGCAACAATCTGCCCTCATGGAGCTGACATTCTTTCTTGTCAACGTCTTCCCGTCTCTCCAACCAAACCGTAAGCTTCAGGACAGGAGCACTGTCTGTTTTGCTTATTGTATATCTTTGATAGATGCTCAATAAATACTTGTTGAATGAACAAATGGGTGGAAGACATACGTCAAAGATTTTCACCCATTTCTATGGTATAGAAAAGTAGTCCATCAATTCACCAAACTGATTTTATTCTCATGCAAAGTTCCTTAGAGTGCTTTGTCTTTGTGCTATGCCACAAATAGCCACTATATAAAAAATAAAATCATGATTTAAATATAATCTCTAAGCTATCTTAGTATTTTTTAAATGTCGAAACAAACAGCAGTTTGGTCATCTTTTGAGAGTTAATTTTTCTGTGGGAAAAAACCCCGTAAGAGATAGCCACTATAGTATAACAAACCAAACCCATTGTCATCAACTCACAGCAACCCAATAGGACAGAGACCTGTCCCATAGGGTTTCCAAGGCTGTAAAACTTCACAGAAGCAGACTGCCTCATCTTTCTCCTACGTAAGAGCAGGTGGGTTCAAACGGCCGACCTTTCAATTAGCATCCAAGTGCTTAACCACTGTGCCACCAGGCCTCCTTCACAATACTATGTTGTTGTTGTGTGCCATGGAGTCGCCCCAACTCACAGTGACCCCTCCTTGGGTTTCCGAGGCAGTATCACTAGGGAAGTAGGATTGCCCAACCTTCCTTCCGAGGAGTGGCTGGTGGGTTTGAACTGCCAGCCTTCTGGTTAGCAGTCAAGTGCTTTAGCCACTATGCTACCAGAGCTCCCTCACAATACCATAGTGGGCAGTAAATGCATATGAGGGAAGAATTTTTAAATAGATTTTTATTTGCAAAAAAAAATTTTTTTTTTTAAAACAAAACCTAATCCAAGTCAGGTTCCTTCTTCTTTCTCCTTGTCCCTTTTGAGTAACTCCCAGATCCTGTTCTTTCCTTGCTCTGTTCAGTTCGCTGTGTCAACCACTCTTTTTCCAGCTGTTTCAGCATGTCTGGAGTGAGGAGTCCCTGCTGCACCAGTCTGGAAGCCAGGGATTTCTCTCCTGCCTCAGAGCTGTGTAGCTCAGCAGCTTTGCTCCCTGAAGTCTTCGTGCCACGCATTCTTCTAGCTTGGCTCTTTAAGGTTCCTGACAGATGGGATTGGCTCCCGGCTGGTAAGCTCTCCAAATGCAACAGCTTATGTGTCTCAGAAATTTTAATCAATCTGGTGATGTTGTGTACACCATCTTGGATAATGCCATCTAGTTCTTTCTGGAGATCTCGAATAAGGCTGGCATCTGGAAACATATCCATGAATCGGTAGCTGGAAAAAAAGACACATTATATTATACTAACAACTTTTTATCACCGTTGCTGGACTAATGTCAATGACCTACCTACATCCTGATATACTGATCAACTCCAAATACTCTCTCTTTCTGCAAATCCTGTCCAATGCCTTTGCTGAGCCTTATTTCTACCTAGCTCACCTGAGTAAAATGTTGCTTCTCAAGTGACTATGATATGCTCCCCTAGGGGGACATGTCCTGCCCACGAGAATCACTAGGGATCTTGTTAAAATGCAGGATCTGATTCAGTAAGTCTGGGGTGGGCCTGATGATCTATATATTTCTAATAGGCTCTCCAATAATCCTGATGCCTTTAGTTCAGAGACCATACTATGAGTAGCAAGGGGCTACTGTATCTCTCACTTAGCTATGTTCATTAGAATCACAACTCCTTATGTCATTTTTGGAATGCGTCTAATCCAGCTTCAACTGCTCTTATGGACAATAAACATAACACAAGAGCCCCCTGCAAATGCGTGTCTAATTTGAAATACCACTCAAAACTTTGATGTGCCTTATTAGAAAATTGAGTGCACAGAAAGGAAAACATGTCATACCTTAGCCACAGGTAGAGATCCAAGACATCGTGGACAGCCTCGAGATCCATGAGGTCTTTAATATTTTTAGGTGGCAGTAATGGCCATTTAATGTATCGCCGTAACCATGCAAAGGTCAGAGGCTCATTCCTGCTATACTGCCTGGCAAACTGAGAAAAAAACAGGAGTTCGGTAAAGGAATTAGAATTCATTTAAGTCTGAATAGAAAGAAAAAGGAAGAAAAACACGCTATTTGTGATTTTGTTGCAAGAGGCAGGCTACTTTCTCCTCTACACTTTTCTGTGTTTTTAAGAAGCCCTAACAGCAGTAGTGAACTGGCTGTGAACTGAGAGGTCAGCAGTCTGAGTCCCCCAGGTGCTCTGGGGGAGGAAGATGTGGCAGTCAGTCTGCTTCTGTAAAGAGTTGTGTGCTGCCAAGTCACAGCCCTGGAAACCCTACGGGGCAGTTCTACTCTATCTGACAGGGTTGCTGTAGGTTGGAATCAACTCAACGGCAGCGGGTAATATTTTAAGAACACTTATTACTCTGTGAAAGTACTTAGGAAAAAGGAAAGGATGATTTTCTTTTTATAAAATCAAGGCAGTAATATGTGCATCAGAAGTTTTATAAGGACTAACTTCCCAGAGCCTCAGTCTGCTAACTCTCCCTTACAAGCATTTGATGTTTTAAGCTATGAGCAGACAGTATCTGCATATTCCCATTCCTACCCCTTCATGTAATACCATAACTTTGAACAACTTAGTTTTCTGTATCTTATTAATGTCCTCTCTTATAAAGAATCTCTGACGTAGCCTGGCACAAGGCTGGTCCCGAGTCAATCTTGACCTGCCTTTACTAGCTGTGTGGCTCTGGCTTAGTCACCACTCTATGCTTCAGCTTCCTCATCAACAACCTAAGACCACCATACTCCTTTCTTGAACTATGAGACACTGTTAGGGAATATGCTTTAGCACGTTAGGCATTATTATACAAAACCTATACTACAGGAGACAGGAATACCTCCCCCCCCCCCCCGATAAGACTTCAAGCAAGAATTTTAAATCTTTAGCTTCATGAGTAAGTTGATTTCAAACTTACTCCTGTGGCTTCCAGCCAAACAAAAGACAGGCATATGGGGTGAACATTTACATTAGATAGATACACCCCTTGGAGCGATCAATCGTGGGAGAACAGAAAGGCAGCGTTTGCATGGAGAGATAGCTCGGGAGCAGAAGTGTATGGGAGGGAAGAACACGGGGAAGAGGTAACCACAGGGAGGAAGTGGGAAGAGAGCTGTTACACTGTGGGGAATTGCAGTCAATGTCATGAAACAAAGTGTTTCAACTGCTGTATGGAAAATGAATTTGCTCTGTAAACTTTCACCCACATCACAATTAAAAAAAAAAAAAAGACTAAGTTGATTTCAAATGATTCATTTCCTAATTTGGGAAAATTATCTCTAAATGTTTAACCTAAGCAAGCTAAACACTTCAGAGAGGCAAGACAGCTTCACACCAACTATTGTCAAATAATGCTGATTTTATTTAGTTCAATCTGGTACATTCTGTTATGCTTAATAAATGCCATGTACACGGCCATGGATGCTGGAAATGGGACCACACTAACCTGCTAAGCAGGACATGCCAAACACAATTTCAAGTTCCCTCAAAAAGAAAGCAGGTTTTATATTTTTTTTTGTCACAAACAACTAATGGGAGCCCAATATGTAAAAGTGCTGCAAGTATGAAGCTGCCCAGAGAAGGGATGGGAGAGATGCCCAACCTTTCAGATAACTTCACTCAGCAGCTACACTATGGGAGTTCCAAGGAACAAAAAATTCAAAACCAATGTTTAAAGGCATATCAGAGGCTATCAATGGGGTTGAGTTCTTCCATAGTTCAGTAATGATGGAGATCCAGAAAAAAAAAGTAGAAACCTCTAGATTTCACATTCAACAGAAAAGCAGACACTGCATTACTACCTAGTTAGAAGCTTCTGTTTCATTAAAACAGCTGCTTTAAGGATGCTATAAATGGGGCCAAGGCCATGGGATCAATCCCCACTAAGGTACACAGAAAAAAAGATTATTCCATAAACTTCCACCTTATGCTAGCCAGCTCTCTCATAAATGCCAGCTCTAAGAAATGTATGTACCCACGGATTTTCTACATAAACACCTGGACATGGAAGACTGCCAAGAACATACTGTTAAAGGAAAAAGGCAAGTTGCAGAAGAGTTCATTCTGATAATGTTTATGAGAAAATACATCCACACAACAAACTAGAATTTTCATAGGTACATGTGTGTAGGCAGATGCAAAGAAAAAGGTCTGTAGGGATACATACACACTGACAATAGTTATTCAGAGGACTGAGATTGGGGGCCGCCAGCCAAACCTCCCTGAAATGTCTCAATTTTGTACAAAAAGAAAGTACTTATGTAATTAATGATTAATTTAAAAACCAAAGTTAGAAACAGATTTGATTAGAACAGAGCTGATATGCAGAACACCAAGGCCTAAAGAGATGGCAACTAGTATATAGCAAAGAGTCAGGAAAAGATTCAGGAAGGAGGAGACCTTGGGATTCAGTGGGATGGGAGGGTACTCCAAACAGACAAAAGCATGTGCGAAGGTCCAGAGAGGTGAGAGAACAGAGAGTGGGCCTAGAAATTCAGTTTCCACTGCCCTCCCCAATCCCCCTGGTTAAATAAGTCCTGTGTTCCTCAGAGGTCAGAGATCTGTATCCCTCACCCAAAGAGGTTAAAAAAACAAAAGGGCTGGAACACTGGCACCATGCTCATAAAGACAGCAACCCCGAGCTCAGTGCCTTACACTTCAGAAATGGTATATTATTGCTCTAATCCTCTCTCCCTCCCCAAAAATACTACCCAACTGAATAAGGCAAAAAAGTATTTCATCAAGCAAAGCCCCCTCCCTCAAAACATTTTATTTAATTATTTTGGTTTC